AACTCTGAATGACGCAGCTGATTTGATGTTAAAATTCAGTGTTCATTAATGAACATATCCTTGATGCATTTTTCTTTACAAAATGCATCACTGCTGTTGTACTGGCACGGTTTCTTAGCACACCTATATATTGTGATGCATGTCATTTACCACAGAAGTTTTTAAGTATAATGATATTTTGGTCATATCACCTACCACGATCCAAATTCAATTTTCTGGAAAAAAAAAAAAAAAAAAACTAGTGTATAACCTTCCAGGACATGTGGAAGCCCTGAATTACCATTCTATGATTCGTTTCTCAGGCCCCACTCCAGCAGGGAGCAGGTAGTTCCTGTAGTTCATCAGCTTCTTCTCTTGACAGCAGTCTCGCACCCAGATCTGAGAGACACAGGGAACTCCACCTGCCACACACAGCAGGTACGTCTGCGTGCGGCAATGCTTATCAGCAATCAACAGGCTCTGATACGCTGCTTTACACTGAACAGACAGAACACACAGGAACCTTTAGACTCGAGAGACCTCAAGTGCTGCAGAAATAATTCAAACTGCTAGAGGTCAAAAATGAGGTCTTACCTGTTCTTCATTAAATTCAGGCAGGATCATCCCTCCACCGGCCACTAACTGCCGCTCAGTGTACTGCTTGTTATATGGAGCTGTTGGCACGTATTCTTATGACAAAAAGGAAACAGGAGAGTCTGACGATCTAGCCACAGCTTGAAATAATAGAGAGAGTTCAAGTTGTGATTAGAAGTCTCTTTTCTCACCTTCCTCTCCATCGCTGGTAGTCTGGTTGGACTTCCTGTCGTTGTCAGAGGATGCAGTTAGCATGAAGACAAAGCCCATGAAGAGAGACGTGCTCTCAGGAAGAGGGCCGTGGGTCACCAGTAGGTCATTGGGGTCAGACGGCAGCTCCGCTCCGCTCCCAGAGGTATCACATGGAGCCATTCTCAAACCTAAACCCACATATTAATATAGAAGATACATAGTGTGATTGTATTAATAAAGGATTGGGCCAGAGGAAAATCTAATTACACAATTTTCTACTTATCTTAAAAGGTATCTGACTTTCGCGTGACAAGTTTTCCTCTAGTTTCAAAGCTAATGTAGCTAACAAGTAATGGAGGTCTCTCTCACCTAATACTTTTGTATAAATTCATACCCAAGTCTTCATAGACTTGTTTCAAACGCCATTATGGAAGCTATATTATGTAATATCACTTTTAATAAATAATTAACAGAAATAATGTGTATTTAAAAAGCTTAAGTGTGATTATATGATAGAATTCAAATGACTAAGCTTCAAACTTCAGGAAGAAAGACTTATGATCATGTAATGGGGCAATATTGTTCCATATAAAACTTATCAGTGTTGTATATAAAGACTTGAGCATGTATTTATGGAATAGATTTTGGGTGAGATAGACTTCATTTACTTGTTAGCCACAATAGCTTCATAGCTATATTACAAGAAGTAAACGTCAAACACAAATCTACATTTAGGGCAAGCAGAAAATTGTGTAAATTAGATTTTTTTTTGCCAAACCATTTCATTAAAAGCTAGAAACCCATACACCATTATTTAGAGCTATTCATTTGCAGTGGAGCATGCAAAATAAAATGAACCACCACCCTGTGAGCGCACACACACACACACACCAATTCCACCTGCCTTTCCAAGTGCACCCAAAATCTACATACCAATATCCATAAGAGAGCTGGATCTGCTGCTCATTAAAACTCAAAGAACGGAATCTTGATTCATGTTTGTAAATGGCTTGAAAATCACAAATTTATGTAAAATATCTGAGGTTTGTTAAAACAGTAAGATTCCAAACCAGGGTATATGTGTTTCTAAAATATATTTATCAAAAAAAAAAAGGCAATTAAAACCTAATGCATATTTTGAAAAGGAGTTTAAAATGCAGAATGTCTTACATCATGATAAAATTAATGCAATTTATAACATGGATAAATTCATGAAGCTACTATTAAAAGCATGTTAAAAACAGGAGCTCTAAAATGTCCTCAGTTCGGGCTGTTCTGCTGTAGCTGCACGTCATTAATCTCTGTCCGGACTGTGCATGGCATCCGTACCCGCTCTGGCCCCACCCCCTCTGCGTCCTCTCTTTGCTGGTGTCCTCTCGTCCTCTGTGGAGCTTGCAAGTTTCCGTTTCGCTGGGGTTCTTGGGCTGTTTGTGGAGCTGCTGTTCGGCGTTCCAGGCCCAGTCCCGTTTCCTCGACGCCTCCGCTTTCCTTCTACAAGGTTATCTACAGGGAGATCATGAACTGTTAGCACACACGGGCTCCATCAAATAACATTAACAGCAGTAATCCATGTTTTCTCTCTCTCTCTCTCTCTCTCTCTCTCTTCCCCCAAAAGATATCATGCTCAATTAACTGCTTGTCTTCAAAAGTAGGGGAAAGAGCTATGAGAAGGGCAGTGGGACACACCGAGGCTGATATCAGATGCCATGTTCTGAGGAGTGGAGGGTTCGTAAGGCCCGAGGCCATATTGTTCCCTCAGGCGGTTGCCCTGCTCCATGGTGAGAATCACTGCAGTCCTGCTGTACCACGTGCTCTGGCCATCTTTCTCTACGCAGTACAGCAACTCGGCACCTTGACGCTTATATGCCTTCACTATACCTGTCAGCAAAACACATACACGCAGAAATGTTTAGCCTTCTCTGCTTATTTAATAGTACTCGGCGGGAAACACTGAAGTACATGGATAAATGATTTGTGACTAAATCATCCTCTCCGTTCCCCTCAAGTCTCTTACCTGTGTTAAAGTACTCCTCCTCAGTCAGCGCCGTGACCTCCATCTCCAGCGGAATGGGATCACACAGCAGGATGTCCTTCCCCTGTGCCTCACACTCCTGATTGTCGTCGAACAGTAGCCGGAAGCGGTTCTCTCCCAGGTCCTGGGTGATGGTCCCCGAGTAGAAAAATGAATTGGATGACCACTTGGCCATCACACGCAGTCCGATGAAGCTGCTGCTCCCTGCACTGTTCTCAGGGGACGTGGTGTTTAATGCATCAAAACGGCTTGAGGGGACGCGGGCATTTGTACGAGCGAGGTGCTCATCTTCTGACGAAGACATGGCCGGGCCGTGAGCGCCTCCTCTCTGTGCTGACCTTCCACCTCTGAGTGAGAGCAGCAGCAACAATCAGTGAGACAGAGTCATAAAGGCAGTGGTGACACATTTGGCTGACTACTAAGAGGTTTTTGAAGACAGAAGGGTTAGTAAGAATTTGAATGAAAGATGTTAAGAGTGGGAGTTTCCATCCACATGTTTATGGATATGTGTAAATATTTTGTTTACACATAAGGAAAGTTTAATTGAAACCTCAGATTCCTCAAAAAACAACTTAGGACAATGTCTTTTTTACAGATGACTTAACAAGATAAGATTATCATTTAAAAACATACATTTTAAAATGTTATTTACGTAATTTATTGTCATAAATAGTAAGTTCTTACAATTCGCTGTACAAAAAAATTAATAATAATAATAAATCCAGCACTTGGTTTAGCTAAATTTCAGTTTCCACCAAGAATTTTCATTTTGGTATACCATTCAATATTAACAAATAGAACATTTTGATTACAACATTACTTGTTTTAAGCATTTCAGCAGTTCCTTTATTTTCTCTTAATATTTGCAAAACATTTGGATGAAATTCTACTATTCCCATCAGGTTTCACGGATAGTATCATGTACGGAACAAGTCTGTGAGCCCTCACCTGGACAGTGGACCACGTGAGGGGGGTCTTCCTCGACGCCCGTGGCCTCTGGGGCTCAGCGGGGCAGTGGACGGAGAACCCCAAACACCTGTTAGCTCTGACCCCACTGCCTGTCTACCCCCTCGCCTGGGGCTGAGAACACACACACAGACAGACGGAGCGGTCAACAGACACGCCGTCAGCCACCAAGTGTGTAGTAGCAGCAGTGGGGAAGTAGCTGTACAGGCCATGAGTGCTCTCTTGAAGACATGTGTTTACACAGTGTGTGTGTGAGACTGGAAGAGTTAAGTGCTACTGACAGCTGCATACATGCTTAGGGATGTCCATTAACATATCAAAATGAAAAAAGGAACTGATGTAATTCTGTAGCGCTCCCAATTCTAATAGTGAGACATGAATGTGCCACTTTGCCTGTTAATTAATCTCTCGTCTGAGGCAAAAATGAACTTGAGTAGCTGTATATATTATACATAATTATATCCAGAGCATGTATGCAATTTCAGTAGAAAGTAATAGTAGAAGTGAATAGTATTAGTGTCAGGGAGGGGTCATGCAGAGGCCACAGGATAGACTCAACAGCGACTCACCTGCCAGTCTTTGCTCCACGGCTTGGAGGCATGACAAAGTCAGTGATCCTGCTGGGAGCTGGACCTCCACTGCTGGTCCCGCTGGAGCTGAAGTGGGACGCAGCTTTAGATGAAAGCGAACTCACATCAGCCAGGTCTCCTGAGGTCATGGAGCTTCCTGTACGTGAGGGAGAGACATCGCTGTCCATGACACAGCGATCCACCACTGGCTCCTCGGTTTCCTGGAGAAGAAACAGATAGATTACGATTAAAGAGCATCTTTTTGAATTTAAGTCAGCTCCTGATACGTTCTCTAATCTCACTCATGAAGCTCCCTACAGGACGCACTGAGGAGTGCCTCACCTCAACGACCTTACGGTCCACCTCCCTACCGTCTTCGTAGTACACGTCGGTAATGATGCGAGTGATGGTAGTGCGCACTTCTTGAATGGTGCGGACGTGTCTGCGGTGAGAAGGGCCTGACTGTGAGCGGGTTGGTGTGACTGGCTCCCCCTTTAAAAAATAAATAAATAAATAAATAAATAAAAAAAGAGAGCACATCAATGTTGCCATATCATTGGTCCGCATATTTGATTTGGCACAGTTTTTTACGCCGGATGCCCTTCCTGACGCAGAACGCCCCACCCCCCCAATTTTATCCGGGCTGCAATACCAGTGGCTGGGGTCGGTTCCCTAGCCGGGAATGGAACCCAGGCCGCGGCGGTGAGAGCACTGTGGCCTGACCACTAGTCCTCCAGGGACCCTAAAGTGAAAATTGGGTAAATTTCTTTTTTTGGCCACACTGTTCCTGTAACATGATAAAATCATTTGCTGAAAAAAATGGGTGAAATTCAGATTTTAAACACTGATCTTTTTTATTCCATTGCCAGTGCTCGAAGTTGACTGGTACTCACAGTATCAGAACTTCTAAGTTTCGCTCTTTTGAGTACCAATTTTTTTTTCTTCTTTGCCCATGCCTAGCCACAAAACCAAAAGGACTATCAAGCTAATAATAACAGTTTATTCTGGTTTCACAACCAAATTAAGTGGAAGTTAAATTCACAGAGAACACAAAGTGTTTTGGGTGGAGTCTATGGAGTTTACAGTTTACTTAAATGTGAGTGGAAAAAACTGAAATAGCAACAGTGTAGCGTAATGGCTTACACTTTAAACACATCCAACGCAGTTGGTGTTTATTGAAGCGCTTGTTAAAAGAGTAACGGCTGTGTGTGACCAAAAAAAACACTTCAGCAGCGTGTTTGGTGTAAACTGGCCTGAATCCATCACTTATTCTTTACCATTTTAAGCACTGTCTATTAAGCAAATGTCAATTTAGTATGTGACTAATGTAGTACATATATAATCATAACAATCAGCACAATTATTCGAGAAGAGCTGATTATCTGATCATATTAATCAGTAGTGAAGTCTCTTACCCTGCCTGATGGGAGATGTGGTCCAGAGGCATCAAAGCTGGTCTGCTGTGATGCAGCTCTCTGATGAACAAACGGGAAAAAAGAAACAGAACACTGTTTTAACTCGGTTCATCATTTCCCTCCTAATCCAACTTATTCTCTGCTGAATGTCTTACTTTGCTGAGAGGACTTGCTGTGGTGGACAAGTCCACGCTGGTTTGCTGAGACACAGCTCTCTGGCCTATGAGTGACTTGCGAGGTGCGTGTCCAGAAGTGCTGGGAGCTTCATGTTCATTAGCTGGGGGCGACTGCACCTCAGCCAGAGGTTCTGAGTGCATGGCAGTGCCGTTGGTTTGCTTTAATAACTGCTCTGGCGTACCATTACCTACTGCCTCGGGAGGCGGATCAGGGTTCTCACTGTTCGGGAGGTCAGTTTGGCTTAGAGTTCTAGTAGTTCAGGGGAGAAAAAGAGATAATGGCAGATGGGTAAGAGTTAAACTGCTTCAGTATGTTATTAATGTTTAAAACAGGTTAGTATTTACATGTTTAATACTGAACTTAGAATTTTACACTATTAAGACTATTCTCTGTTGAATCACAAAGTGAACGATATTTTCTAAATGCCGAGGTAAGTATTAAAAGGGCCCTAGAACGTCTCTACACCTTAACCCCTCACATAGAACACAAGGATCTATAAATACGCATGCATATGCAAATTGGAAATGCCCCCACGTCCTCCTGCAATCAAACCTAGTGATGACATTAATGATGTCTCATTATATTCTTCTGAACCAGTTTTTTCATTTGAATAAAAACATTGTGTACCTTCTGTGTAATAATGTAATGCTGGTCATAAAATCTTAATAATACACTGCACATCGTACTAAAAACAGCTATTTGCCTGAATAAAGCCTGTTAGCTGGCTTAGCCCAGTTTGTAGGTTTGAGATTGTTCAAATCGTACAACTGACGGTATGATTTGACATACGACTGAAATGGACAGTTCAAAAGATTGGAAAGTTCAATTGACAACCTGAATCCCATTACTAATCCAAACTCCTTTTCTCCCGCCCACTACCCTGATTACACTATTTATTACTAGTTATTACGAAATGATTAGCCAGACTGGGGAAACACAGCACTATCTCTGAACCTCAAACTGACTGGGCCTGAAGAAGAAAATCCGTTCACCAACACTGTAGCTCCAAATCTCCATTTAAAAGTACAAAGTTGTCTTTTACAGAAAAAGTATATTAACTAGGTAATCTGTCCAATGTTTTTCACATGCTTAAGAGAAGTGGCTCAACTGATGGGAGATCAGAAAAAGGACTTGTTGTTGAAAATATCTATTAGTAGTCCAAAAACTAGAATCACATCTTCCGTTTTCCACATTTGTCTACAGACTTAGAACCCAGAATAGCCTCCTCAAGGCACTTCAGATGGTGTAAGTAGGGCACACACCATTTCCCTGCATACCACCACTCTAAGCAAACAGGGCACTGTGAAACCAATTTAATGGTCTCCAAAAATACCCTGAACCAAGGGAGCTCTATTTATATCCCGTACAAAAACTCCCAAGGT